GTCTAAATAAGAATAGTAAAATACCATTTGATCAATTCAAAAGCAACTTGATTCAAAACTTACTAAATACATAGTTACAATGAAATAGCAATATAACATAACTGAAAATTCTTCCAAATCACCAAGGCACCAACTCCAACACTACCAAACTGTGGGGAATAAAAGGCAGCCTGATACTAGGAATTAGAAGACCAGCACTCTAGCCCTGGCTCTCTCGAGAGAAGGAAAACAAACAAAATTAAACAAACAAACAAACAAACAGAAAAAACCATGTAACTTCATGATTGATTCCCTATCTTCTAAGAAACAGAATTTCAGGCTGACCCCCTGTGTAGCTCCTCCTATGAGTCTAAGCTGTACTTCTACTAACAAACGTGTGGGGATTAGATATACACTAACTTAAGGTTGCCATATTGTCGTAAATTTCCTGTTTACCCTTGAGGTATGTTTTTGATATATTTAATTCTTTGTTATGTTTCCAAGGCATATTTTAAAGAAAGTGTTATAAAGGAAAGACATTTTGGAATAAAATAATTATGATACTAAAAGGAACCAAACTGTCTCTTGGTTGCTGTTATCATTACATAGAACCACTATGCTATGGTTCAAGGAAAATAAAAAGAATCATTCAGCCTAATTCTAACTAAGCCTACTTGAGCAATATTCTTTCCCTTTCTGGGCAAAAAATCTTTCCTTCTGTAAAGAAAAAGTTTGGCTACATGACCTGTAAGGCTCAATCAATCTCTGATACTCTGTGATCATACTGGTTCTGCAATTCACCCCACAACCACCTCCGAATTTCTCACATCAGTTCTTCTAAAACTACTCCCTAATACCACATTTTAAAATATTTAACAATTTTAGTTCCAAACACTAAGGTAGTTTAATTGCATCCATGCAATGTTATACATGTATATTTATACCCCTTATGCAAACTTTGCTAAAGGTGTGATTACCAAACCAACTGAAGCCAGAAACACTGTTGCTATCCACCTAAATTTCTCCTCTTTACTGTGACAGAGCTTGGGCATCAAGAGGTACTTAGATACTAAGTACATTTGATTTTTTCCATCTGCTTTCTCCCTTTATACCTCACATGCCCTATATTGCAATTAGACTAACTTATTTTTTAAACAATGCATTCACTTTCAACATTCCTTGACTTTCTCATTCCTGTTATTCTTGCACCTTGAGTACCATGTTCTCATAATACATTCAGTCAAGTGAACTCAAATGCTACCTGCTCTATGCAGTCCTTTCTGACACTGAAAGGCGTAAGGTGTGGTGTTGATATGCCTATGTTTTATTTCTCAACAATTTCAACACATGGTGAGTCATATGATCATTAAGTAGCACACTGAAGTCCTTCTTCTGTGTCCCTTTGGATTGCTTATGCACTTACCTCTTCTGTAAGATTAAGAATTACTTCAGAGCAAGGACATGTTGATACTAACCTTTATATCTCCAATGCCTAATGCATAATAGGATCTCAATATAATGTTAGGTGAATGAATAAATGAATGAATGAATATGTGGAATTAAGCCACATTTTCCAAATAAACATATGGATAAATAAGTAAAAAGAACTAAAGTCAGGAAATCTGGGAGTGGGAAATGCTTCTCAGAAAAAAAAGTAGGAAAATGCCTCAGTAAAACCTACTTTCAAGAGCTCAGACATTTTTCAGAGCTGTTATGTGAGTGGGGTTCCCTGGGACCTCTTACTACACAAACATTCCATATATACATATTATTTTCCCTGAGATCCATGAGTCAAAGCCGCCTTACAAAGGTGATTCAGAGGTGGATTTGAGAAAGCACAGGACACATGTTTGACTAATGAGAAACCACAGACCTACTAGCCTACTTTAAGTAGTCAGGTGACACAACAGGTTTTGAAATTTGCTTTGGATCAAAAATGGAAACATCAAAGTTAGGCATAAACTGTCTACATTTCTAGGACTTTTCAAGTACCTTTTAATTACAACACAATACCGTCTACTGCAGACATCATCTTCTCTTGGCACATATTTTTAATATTTTAAGTGTCTGATTATTGTTCTCATAGCATATAATTATGTTAACTGATAAATACTAACACATCCAATTCAGTTCCACCAGAAGATAACGCAGAAGGATAAGCTATATCTCTCAATTAACTCTTGCTTTCCAAAACTAGAATAATAATAATAAAAAAAAATTAGAATGGATCATCCTTTAATTTTTGAATGGAACAGGCACATCGAAAGTAGATTTTACCCTAATTATAAGCTTATCTACTTTAGGGCCATCATTATTAATTTTTTTAACCTTCTGAATGTTTTTTCTTTGTATGGGAAAGCCATATCACTCATATAACTGATTTTATAGTTTTTGCCAATGGTTAAAGACATTTAAAAAAATTAAAGGGGCCGGCCCGGTGGCGCACTGCGCTAGTGCGCCGCTTGGGAAGCGCGGCTGCGCTCCCACCGAGGGTTCGGATCCCACATACAGACCGGTTCCCGCTCACTGGCTGAGCGAGGCATGGGGGCGACACTGAGGGTTGCGATCCGTTGCCAGACACGGAAAAAAAAAAAAAAAAAGGACCTGATATCCTCAATCAGGTTTTAGAACTTAAAATCAAGCACAAGCTTACATTCAAGGTCCAGTTTTGCTCACACAACAGCCATACAGCCAAAGACAAGTCACTTTTCTGCTAAGTCTTAGTTTCTTCATTCATGAAATAAGCACACTATCTATATCTCAGAGTTCAGATATCTATATATCATCCATGTGAGAATATATGTGTAAGTGCTTTACAATCAGTAAAGTACTGTCCAAATACCAGGGATTATGAGTTTGTGTGCTCAGAAAGATTGCTCAAACAAAAACATAGCTGCTGAACAAGCCTACTAAAATGTAGTGGTTTATGCGAAGACTGTGTAGACACAGCCTTAAAGAATGAAGGCTATATTAAGCAAAAACCTCAGAGCATAATCTCCTCAATATGTACTAGGTTACAAGAATTTAGGACAGAGAAAAAATCAGTTAAACAAAAGCCTGTTAAAAAAGAAAGAAATACAAGCATTTGAGCAGAATATGGCTGAGTCCAGTGACAAAGTCCATGGCCTTGCTGTCCTAAGAAACTGAGCTGGAGGTATTCATTTGGGTGGAACTGGAAAATTGCTGAACACCAAACAATGGTCAGAAACTATAAAGTAAGATCGAGAATATTTCTCTGACTTGGCCCCATCCTCCTTCATGTTTCCAGAGTTGGTTTTGTTCCCCTTTTCAGAATGAATTCTTGCTTTCCCTGCTTGAGAACCTTCAATTATGCCCATTATCTACAAAAGATAGGCTAAAATCTTCATCTAGCATTCAAACTTGTCCACAGGCTCTCAACCTTCCAGTCATATAGTTCACTTCAAACTTTCATTAGCTTCATCTGCAGCCATCTGGTGGCTTTCAGTCCTCTGAATTGCAGCCTAGACCTTCCTGCCCTGTGGCTCAGACTATTCTCCTCTCTTGTCTTCAACAGAACAATTCCATCCAGCTAAAATATGCAAGTCTTCTGAGGAGAATTCTCAGATTCTGCCACCTTTGAAAGAATCTATCACTCTCTTCCTTATGCTTCTGCAATATCGACCATAGTATAACTTATGTAACAATATGGTCTCCTGGAAGATGACAACTCTCTCCCTTTCAACCATCTACTTTCCCATTCCTATCAGTTCCTCTGAAGGACCACAGTACCGGCTATGTACTAGCAGTTCAGTACATGTTTATAGGAATGAAGTACATTTTTACTGCTGATGGGACTGGTGGAGCCAAGAGCAGAGATAGCTAAGAAAGAGCTCAGCTCTAGTATATTTTTGCCTTGTACCCCCACATAGCTGACAATCCCATTATATATTTAAGAAAGGTAATGGGAATATGTCTAAAGAAGAAAGCACCACAACCTTATGTGCAGCTAAATGTTGTAACGACTGACAGCAGAAGAGAAGGACTGGTTGTTAATGCTTGAAAGGAACCATTGTTAATACAGCAGCTGTTGTTCAAGAATTGGAGAAGGACTCAGAGTGCTGTATGCACTGTCACTTGGTCAAGAAAACGTCACACAAGAGTCAAGAAATACAGAGACAATAGTGCACATTCAATGTTTGCATCTAGCGTTCTGATAGCTGTCTTCTGAGGACTTGGAGGCCCTGAAAGAGATTTGTCATGACCCTCTCAACAACTTGGACAGGCAGGGAATGATCACTAGCAGGAGAAGATCAGCTTCTGAAATACAGATAATAAACTAAGATGCAGAAAAATAGCCAAGCTCCAAAGCAAGCAAAAAAAAAAAAATGCAAAGAAAAACTGATAAGGCACTTTTTGCACTTAAAAAATACAAATTAATTGCTATTATTAAATTCTGGTGAGCTTGAGGAGAAACTGATATATTCAAATTGCTAGTGCCAGGATAAGCTATTTACCACCTTTGGAAAGTAAAGAAAGTAATCATACTCCTCAATGTAGGAATCTCACTTTTAGGAGTCTGAGGCAGGGAAATAGCTCCAAAGAGAACAGACACATACATGTCCCTTATAGCACTGCCTAAAACGATGACCCAAAACATGGAAACCACCTCAATATCAAACATAAGGGATTTCTTCACAAAAGACGTAGCTCCTCACCTCAGTCTTACATAGCTATGCTAAGTCATATTTGTGAAAATCATAACAACATGCAACAGAATACCCAGGTAGGCAAAGCTAGGAAAGAAGAGAGAAATGGAATAGAAGAGATTTACTTTTTTATTGAATTTTTGAATAACATCGTTTTGTTATTTTAATAAAATCAATTTAAGAAGTTTCTGCCAATTAACTAACACATGTTGATATTAATAAAAAGCCTACATAGGCCACTGGCTCTGAGAAGGTCAAAAAAGGGTTAAAGGGCTATAACAAGAAGTTTCTTTCAGATAAGAGCAGAATATCGGTGGCTGGCCCTAGAATGACACATTTTCGGGCAGCACTGACCTGTGGTGGCCGTGGCTTGTAGGGAGAGCTGCACTCGAGGTCGGCCAAGATACTGGTCAAGGAGTCGATCTCAGCATCCAGGCTGGAGCGTCTCTCCTCAAGGGTCTTGCCTCCAGGATTCCCCTGGAAGCAACACATACATGTTAAAAAAGGAAATTTCTGTTGACATCATTGTAAGTTCATTTCTCAAGTTATAGTGTGGCTCTGTCCAAGTTTTCCTGCACCTCATTTTTTAGCTTTAATAAAATCTCAGTAAAGTAGAATTATCTCTTTTTAACAGATAAGAAAACTGAAAAATATGAGGTATTTTTCCTAAAGTCACACACTTCATAGCTAGCCAGTACATGGATTGAACTCCGGACCCTTGTGTTATCAGCACCACACTCTAGCCAACCGAGCTAACTGGCCAGCCTAGAAGTTTGTTGTTGCTGTTGTTTTGCTTGATTTTTGATGAGTATACAAGTAAAAGAAAATGTCTCCATCCCAGCACTTAAGGGGCAGAACCAACTGGGGAGATATTGCAAGCTCTCTGTGTTCAAGAATCTGCATATCGCAAGCTTTTAGTGTTCAAGAAGCACTGCATAGAATGATGACATTTTATGGAGCAGCAAGGGCAAGAAAGGGAGACTAGAAAGAGGAATCAGCACTTGAAAACGTGAAAGCATGAAAGTTCTTGGGTGTCTGCGGATCAGTGGGTGTGAGGTATAAATGTGCAAGAGAGAGGGGGCAAGACTTAGGCGAGGCACCTAAAACATGAACTAGCAAGAGACCACTCAGGTCTGGCCAAGGGCAGGCAGCATGCAGCAGTGAATCCTGATGATGAAGTCGGGTATCTATGGATTTCATGTGGTGGTGCCCCATGCTACCTGCACTCAGAATTAGTGGGAGGAGAGGAGAGAAGAGGAGGGGGCAAAAAGACTGTTGTAGGGCATCTCCGGGACTTGTGAGCTGGCTTGGGGAAAAAAGCAGCCTGCCTAGAGTTCAAGACAAGTAAATATAAAGTGAGGTGGCTCTAGGATTTTGAAGCAGGGTCAGGCAAAAATAATCTTTTAAGGTGACAATGTAATAAAGATCATGTATATGTGATGGGAGAGTCCCTTAGAGTCTCCATCAAGAGACCATAGTTTGTTTTCAACAAGACGGGAAGTTACTGTAATCTAATCAACTATATTGGACTTGTCTAAGGAGGGTAAATATCAGAATAGTGTCTAGAGTCTGCAAGAGTTTAGAAAAAGTACTAGCCAAGAAACCACAATAACCTCAGTAACAACAAAAAATAGGGTGCCCTGACAGGCTAACATTAAATCTTACAACTTCGAGTAAATCTATCCTTTTAGTTAATACACTGCATCAGGCATAGTGCATAATGGCATTGCCTGCTGAGACCACCAGTTCCTCCTCCCCTAGTAACGTGCTCACCAAGCCATCTTCCCTGAGTCCTGGGACTCACTGAAGTCGGCATCAAAGTGACTTCATGGGACCTGGTATATGTGTCGGTCTCTTGTGAGTTTAACTAGCTTGAGTTAATCCCTCATGGACCTGACAGATCCCAGGCACACCGAAAACATCAACTATCTATGAAGCTGTGGTGCGGCCCCTTGGAGCTAAAGGTGGATTGCTGTCTGCCTCATGAGGCAGTTGGCACCCATGCTTGCCAGCCCTCACATGGGTACATTTTATCATATTATCTAAAGCAGCCATCTCATGCTTTTCTCATTTTGCATATATTGTGTATATGTCACTCTATCCCCACACCATGTTTTATTTACTTTTGCAACTACATCTGCCACCATCTAGCATTATCCTTTATGTGAATTTGTCTGTTTACTGTCAGTCTCTCCCCTGAGATAATGTGAGCTTCATGAGAGCAAGAATGATTGCTCAGGGCCTGACCCATGAAAGTGTCCAATAAATATTTGAGTAAATAGATGAATGAATAATGGTAGATTATGCCATAGGCCCAGCCAGTAGCCTTTTCCACATCAACACCTTTGGGGTAAAAGCAACTAGAGGTACAACAGGAAGTAATGGATGCTGTGGTATATGGTATAAAAAGAGAACCAAAAAGTCTCAGTGTACCTGTGTGTGTGTGTGTGTGTGTGTGTGTGTGCATGTGACACACGTGCATGTGTGTGCATACATGTGCCCAGTTGTGTTTGTGTGTATCAAGCTGTATGGCTCAGATTTGAAAGTAGGCTCTGTGAAATTGAGAGATTTTTCTCAACTCTCTTGCCACAGACAAAAATGAAAAAACAGTAATATGACAGGTTGGCTGTGTGTTCTCAGGGTCTGAATTTCCATTCTGACTAACTGTTTATGGCCTGTGGGTCTTTGTCACAGGAACAGATGTTTTCAAGGTACTCCTATATGACAAGAGATCTCATCTTTATCCAAAAAAGCATTAATAACTCTGAAATACTGTGGTATTTTTAAAAAGATCCCTTTAACTTTTAAAATTTAGATGAGCACTTTGGGTAATGGGTCCTCGTACAACAAGGAAAGGCAGGACTCTATTGTTATATAAGGCAGCTGAGAACAGAGTAAACTTGATTTTCTTGTGTGCAGATATATAACATTGTAATAAACATGAATCTGATAACTGTATTTCTATATACTCATAGACAGCACAATATACTGGCAAGGGCCGTGGATTAAAGTCTGGTTAAATTTTTCCCTGGGCCATAGTTTCTACATCTATAAAATGTAGAGAACATCACCTGCCCTACCTAAGCCAAAGGGATGTTACAAGATTCAGATAAGAAAATGGCTGGGAAAATACTCTGTTAAATTGTAAAGTGCTATAATTATGATGATTTTCATAAATAGCATTAATCATAGCAACCAGTAACTATAAATTAATATGAATAATATATCTATTGTTAATTATTCTTCTTAAGGGAAGCATCATTCATGAAGTGTTCCCTTAGGGTATTAGGTAAGAGACAGGATTTAATCAGGTCTTTAACACCTGTACTTTACGGCAGCAGAAAGTACATCAACCGCCTATACCCTAAGTCACCACGATACCTTACCCCTGAGACTCAAAAGTCACAGAATTACCTTAGCTAAACAACGAAACAAGTAATTATGATGTGCAACCAGCCTGTGCTTCTAAGACTTCAGTTGGTTCCAAGCCTCCTTATTCTCCCTTCCCTCTAGGTTGGGACTGCTCCCCATTTTCAGTTTCTTATACTAGGTTGATGCAATGTATTTACAAGTTCCAGCATAAGGCTGCGGGATTTTGCACCAAAACCACCCATGCCGCCCTCCTGCACCTTGTAATAATAGCATTGCTTCTACATTTCAATCCTCATTATGGATTGGGATAGGCTTCTTTCACACCCCCAATTCTCTATATTATGTCTCAGTTTAAACAACAGAGGTCCTGTCCAGTCCCAAAACCAATCTTTTTCTTGGTACTTTCATTTATCTAGTCTCTTAGTACCTTTAAATTAAGGGGCTATCTTGCTATTCTCAACATCTTATACTAGATACCAGGAACCCCCATCCTATTACCAGCTAACAGAATCCTACGGGCTTATCAACATGTCTTCCCCTTAATTCACTATCACTGTAGCTTTGCCGGTCGCCTGATGGGTAAATGACCTGCCAGATGACAACAAAGAAGATTCTCCTCATTTTTTACCTAATGCTGCTGCCGGGTACCATATAAACTCCTGTTAACTGGTCATGGTAACAATAACAATTCCCACACTCTTCAACCCTAACTAGGAAGATTCCATTGTCTTAGTCCAAGTTTCGCCCAAAAAACCAAAGGTTCACACATAAGTCATTAATTTTGGGAGTCAATCCTAAGAAATGATACTGAAGGACTAGGAAGAGTTAAGTAGAAATGGGAGAAAAGCCAATTCAAAGGTGCTATATTGATCTGGTCAGCAACACGGGCAACTAGGGCCCCATTCCCCTCCAGCCCTCTGAGGAATCCTATAAAATGTGCTTCAGATCTTCCCACCTGAGGAGTAGATATTTATCCTCAGCTGCAGTTCTCCATTGGTCTACGGTTGTCTACAGGATTTAAAATTCTTTTATACTTGTCCCAAGAAGTATAATGGTGGCAGAGAAGACCCAGGACAGAAAGTGAGGGAAAGGCACTGTAGGTGAGGCCAGGTGCTGCCAGGTCATACCTGTGCAGAGCTGGTCGCTGTAGCAATGGCTGGTATAAGAAGGTGGGGTGAGAGGTGGGCACAAAAGCGCAGTAACCGCATTTGTTTACTGACAACCACAAACCCCCATGAATAAACCATGCATGAGAGGTTATTTTCTGTAGGATATTTATTTGTATTCATTCTACATATACACATGTGATAAAAGCTCACCAGACCACAGTCAGGGCATAATATCACTTGGGAAATCATAATTCTCAGTACCACCAGTAGAATAACAGGGTGATGACTCCCCCACTAAGTACATGAGAACAGTCTATAAAACAAGAGATCAGAACCAAAATGTACAACATGTGAGTGAAATAGTTGGGCCACTTCCAAGAGTCTCACTTTAGATGGGTCGAATTTTAGCCCAACAATTTCTAACTCACTAACTACAGGTAATAGACAAAGAGTACCAGTAATGAGTTATGAAAGGTCATTCATTTGCATTTTTTGTTTGTTTGTTTATTCACTGGTTATGCTCAAACTTTTCATTTCGAAAAAATTTTAACACACGGAACAGTTGAACAGGTAGTAAAATGAACTCTCCCCACACACTCTTCACCCAGATTCACCAGTGGCCAGCATCTCACCACGCTTGCTCTGTGGGTATATAAATTCTATTTGCTGTTGCAATTAAACCGTTTGTAAAATGTGCAGATACTACCCCTACCCCCATTTTTCTAGCTTGCATCTCCTAAGAACTCCTAATTTTTTCAATACCATTATCACACCCAAGAAATTTAACATGGGTGCAGTGTTATCTAATATACACACATGCTCAAATTTCACCAGTGGTACCAGTAATGTCTTTTTATCTACCGTTGTTAATTCTATCCAATATCCAATCGAAGTTCACACATTAAAGTGATATACTTTTTTAGTCCCTTTTAATTTAGTACAAACTCCCAGCCTATTTTTGTTTCTCCTAAAGCTGACTTTTGAAAAAATTCATGC